TAATAAGGGGACAGAATAAATCATGTATGTTCCTGCTCCACTGAAGATCTGAGCCAATGTTTTGGGGTTGCCTGTCCTCAGAACAGGGGGAGAAGTTAGAGCTATAATAAATTGTAAGCAGGGAACGAGGATGAAAGGAAGTTTGGGACAGGGCGGAGGAGAGATTAAATGACAAAGGTTTCATGGTAGAAAAGGCCAAAGGGAATGGTAATGAGAAAAGACAGGCAGCTGATGGGTTCAACGAGGAGTGTAGGAAGACATGTCAGGAGAAGCACCAGGTCTACATGAAAATGAGGTCAGGACTGTTGGATTTATGACAAGAAGGGGTAAACTTTTAAAGCCATTAGGTCATTTTCAGTTCTGAAGGAGCTAGCTTTGAGCAAGTTTATTTTTAATTCAATTCAAACAACACCAGAATTTAGCTCACAAGCAAGATTAGTTGCTGTTACCTCAGCAGTTTAGTGTGTAAAGCCTCCACATCCAGGAGAAATTTTGATCAGAGTCCCCAAGTTGTTGGAATTGAGAAAGTTTATGTTCTTGGACTTGTGATAAGTTCATGTTGGCAGACTTGGAAAAGCCTCGTTGAATTGGCTGCACAGTCCATGGCAAAGAAACTGTAAGGAATCTGTTAAATAGGAACCCTAAAGAGCTAAAATAGGGGTGTAATTTCTCTGCAGTTGAGTCTCTGAAATGGATTTTGTGTTGGGAAACAGGGTGAGACTTTGTTTTGCTGTATGTTTTAGGATGATTCTATCTGTCTTCTATACTTTGATAGTTTGTGTTGTTTTTAAATATTCTTCTATTGTGTAATAAACTTCTGTTCTGTTAAAGAAAATCTGCAGCCTTGTGTGAATGTATTTCAGTAACTGACCACCACATTAACTAACTGAAAAATATGATCTATCAATCCAAATTCCCTTCCTACTTGCCCAGTAGCTGGGATCATAACTATTTGTACAAAGCTGCCCAATCGAATTGGTTGCTAAAGATTCAGTGGCAGTTTTTCAAAGGAAATAACTTGGAGAAGAGATAGTTACATGATGGTGAGATGTCATTGGCTGCTCTACAGTTGGCTTCAGGAAAGGAGGACTCTGTTAACTTCTAAATGTTTCTGCCAGTCCTGCAGGCACTTATCATCAATGGTTAGCCAATGCCCCTGCAACATTCCTGCTGCCAACCTTCACTGTGCTACTACTGACATGAGCATCCACAGATTCTCGTGAATGGGCCTGACTCTGGGCATTCCTATCGGGTAAGATCAGGAATTGTGAAATGCAGTAGTCACATTCCATCATTGTTTAAAGAGTTGACCAGGATGGCAAATTTTCAGGACCACTAATTTATAATTGCTGGTTCTTCCCTATGTTGCTTTTACACTATATGTCAGTAACATGATCAAATTAAAGCACAGAGATAGTAGGAACTGCCGATGTCGGAGAATCTGAGATAACAAGGCGTAGAGCTGGATGAACACAGCAGGCCAAGCAGCATCTAAGGAGCTTGAGAAAACCCTTCTGAAGAAGGGTCCAGACCCGAAACGTCAGCTTTCCTGCTCCTCTGATGCTGCTTGGCCTGCTGTGTTTATCCAGCTGTACACCTTGTTGTCTCAAATTAAAGCACAATTTTTTTTGTGTGCTTTGCCTTTTTAATGGTCATGTCAAGGACAACAATATGCTATTGGCATTTTGATGCTAAAGTGCCAGTTTACAATTTATAGGTTAACTCCAAAACATACAATAATTTGACTACAGCACCGTGTCACTGGCTAATATTACTCAATGCATATTACTGCACACCCAATATGTATTATTTTTTAATACATATGTGAAAGACCCTGAAATTTTTTATTCAATTTGTTTTGATTTATTGTAGTTATGTTTACCTAAGTACAGTGAAAAGCTTTGTTTGCGAGCAGTACATGTGGATCATAGTAAGCAAAGGACATACAGATCATAGCGGTGAAAAAAAGCACTTGGATAGAGTGAGGCATACAGTTTACTCTGCACAGGAGGTGCACAAAGCAAGATCAATGTTAACGAGATCAACGTTGTTTAAAGTTAGAGAGGTCCATCCATCAGTCTAATAACGGCAGGGAAAAAGGTGTTTTTGAACCTGCTGGAGCGTGTGTTCAAGCTTCTGTATTTTCTGCCTGATGAAAGAGGTTTTAGGAGATCATTACCGGGGTGAGAGGGGTCTTTGATGGTGTTGGCAGCCTTTCCGCAGCAATGAGAGGTGTAAATGTAAATTTGTTATAAGGTGGCATATCTTAAAATTGTAACCTCTGTACTTTCTCATCATATTGAGGGACTGAGCTTCATAGAGTCTACGACTGTTGACCCATTCAAAAGACAGAGCATCACTCACTCCTTGATAGCATTGCAAGGTTGTGTACATTCCAGTGAAATAATGAGGCTGTAATATATCACTAGCCTTCACTGAGTCAGCCCAAATAGTGAAGAAGAGAAGTCAATATCACCATTGGCATCACTGCACCGACTATAGAAGTGCAACATTAGGTAGGGTTTCTGCTTCCAATAACAGCCCATACACTTGCTGCAAATGTATGTATGTACCAGAGGCATAGATAAGGTGAATAGCAAAGGTCTTTTCCCTAGGGCTGGGGAGTTCAAGACTACAGATCATAGGCAAACACAGGCAAATTTAAAAGGGGCCTGAGGAGCAACATTTTCAAGCAGATGGTGGTGCAGGTATGGAATGAGCCACCAGAGGAAGTGGTGGAGGTGCGTACAATTCCAACATTTAACAGGCATCTGAATGGGTATATGAATAGGAAGGATATAGAGGGATATGAGCCAAATACTGGCAAATAGGACTAGATTCATGTGGGCATGGTTGAGTTGGACCAAAGGGTCTGTTTTTGTGCTGTACATCTCTATGAATCTGTGACACTCGACCTATCTAGATACTTCGCAGATTCCTCTATCCTCATCAGAACATCTCCTTCTACATTTTTTTTAAGTGACTCAAAATCCTTTCAGATTGTAAAGCAACAGAAAAAACAGATTGCTCGATGATAAGCACTGGTGCGTTATTCTAATAGAGAGAAATGCAGTGTCTAACTATAGCAAACCCCACAAATAGCAATGAGATGAATGACCAGATTAATCTGTTTCAATTATACTGTTTGAAAATTAAATACACCAAAGCACCAGATACAACTCCCCTCTTTTCCTTTGAAGATACCGTGTAATCTTTTGCATCTATCTGAGATAGTAGATAGGTCCACATAGCAACTCATCTGAAGCACAGCACCTCTAATAGAGCAGCACACCCTCAGTTCAACACTGAAATACCAAATTTAGATTTTGTGCTAAAATCCCTGGATTGGAACTCAAGCCCCCAACAAACGTCTGACTCAATAGAAGGAGTTTCTGTCAACTGAACCATAGCTAACCAGGTCTGAAGGTGGATAAATCACCCAGGCCGGATGGACTACACCCCAGAGTTCTGAAGGAGATCACAGAGGAGATTGTATCTAATTTGCAGATGACACAAAGATAGGTGTAGGAGCAGGCAGTGTGGAGGAAGTGGGGAGGCTGCAGAAGGACTTGGACAGGTTAGGAGAGTGGACAGAGAAGTGGCAGATGGAATACAGTGTGGGAAAATATGAGGTTATGGGACTTTGCTAGGAAGAACAGAGGCATAGACTATTTTCTAAATGGGAAAAGGCTTCAGAAATCTGAAGCACAAAAGATTCGGGGGAGTCCCAGTTCAGGATCCTGTTAAACTTAATATGCAGGTTCAGTTGGCAGTTAGGAAGGCAAATGCAATGTTAACATTCATTTCAAGAGGGCTAGAATACAAGAACGGAGATGTACTGCTGAGGCTGTATAAGGCACTGGTCAGACCGCATTTGGAATATTGAGAGCAGTTTTGGGCCCGTATCTGAGGAAGGATGTGCTGGCGTTGAAGGGAGTCTGGAGGAGGTTTACAAGAATGATCCCAGGGAATGAAGGCCTTGTCATATGAGGAGTGGTTGAGGACTCTGAGTCTGTACTTGGAGTTTAAATGGATCATGGGAGGATCTGATTGAAACTTACAGAATACCGAGAGGCCTGGATAGAGTGGATGTGGAGAAGATGTTTCCAATGGTAGGTACAGCCTCAGAGTGAAGGGTCAAACCTTAGAACTGAGATGAGAAGGATTTTCTTCAGCCAGAAGGTGGTGAACCTGTGGAACTCATTGCCACAGAAGGCTGTGGAGGCCAGGTCACTGAGTGTCTTTAAGACAAAGATAGATAGGTTCTTGATTAGTAAGGAAATCAAGGGTTATGGGGAGAAGGCAGGAGAATGGTGTTGAGAAACATATCAGCCATGATTGGATAGTGAAGCAGACTCGATGGGCCGAATGGCCTAATTCTGCACCTATATCTTATGCTCTTGTTACACCTGACAACCTCATGGCAATTGTTTCATTTTTTTTAACTTACAATTTCTCTCCCCTTCATATACTATGGCCAATGTTCGGGTACTTGAATAGGAAGGGTTTAGAGGGATATGGGCCAAATGCTGGCAAACGGGTCTAGATTAATATACGATATCTAGTCGACATGGGCGAGTTGGACCGAAGGGTCTGTTTCCATTGCTGCACATCTCTATGTTATAAACTCATAAACTGATGGAGGTGAGGCCAGAAGGAAGAGATCACGGGGAAGATTCGCCATGGTATCATGAGTCCGCAGGTTCGCCGAAGATACTTTTTGGAGGAATTCACTGTAACTTGCTCCCCCGTCCAATGCATTTTCCACAGATTGCAACGCAGTTGCTGTGTCACAGTCACTTTGACAGCACCAGTAATTAGGAAAGTTCAGTTCTTCTAAAGGTCAATTGGGCTTCTCATCATGAATGTGAAGAAAATGCAATTCAGGTATTTTTAGCATAATTAACAGACCATGAACAGCTATTCTGGAACGGGCCTGATCTTGCACCAAGTATATATGAGAGCCATGCTGGAACTCAGGAGCACTTGGCACCCAGCATTCCTCCGTTACCCTCTGTCATTCCATTTGAAATTGCCTGGTCTCGGCTCCCTTTGTAAATTTTCATACCTTTGCAGAAATTGTGAGTAGGAAGTGCTTTGGGATCAAACACCTAATGGAAAATATCCTGAAGGAGCTGGTATGAACATGTTACATCTTCTCATGTTTTTCTCGCTGCATTTAATATTATGTATGTGCAGTTTCCTAGGATTTAATGGTTTGTAGACTTTCAGTTTTCAGTCTGTTGAACTTGAATTAACTTTAAATGTAAACAATGCAAGCTCATGATAAAATCACAGGGTAATTTTGCTGGGCTGAGTTGTCAAATGGAGAGCTCATATGGGAGGACCTGCCTGGGAGTTTTTAACAATGCAGACTCACACAATGGCTGTGTAAGTTTTCACACAGAAACAAACAAGGCAGGCTGAAGAAAACTGTTTCACTGTAGAAACCTAGTCACTCTCTGGAATGCATTGTGTTTAATTTGCTCAGCACGATACACTGATACTGATGGTCTTCAGTGTCCTTGTTGAGATGGGTTGGAACACTGGCATCTATTTACCTCTGGACAGACATTAGGACTGTGTGGTTGCAGTAACTGTTGGAACATTCTCTCTGTGCAACGCTTACAGAGAATTCCAATTAACATCCTTCAAAATTGTTTTGCCCATTTGTTTCTCTATTTTTCCTTAACACACAAGAGCTGATGAATTCACTAGGTGAATTGCTTCATAATATTATTGCCCATGCAATGCTTAGCAGCTTAGCTAAACCGACTGCTAAACAGTACAATTCATCAAGGAAGCTGATGAATTAATCTCAATACAACTCAATGTTGAAATAGCCATACCTTTTCCAGCAGAGTTGTGAGTGAGCAGTAATTCAGGATGGACTAGACTCCAAACCTTGGACCACTCTGCGATGTGGTTTAGTGACTGTGACAGCTGATTGCCTGTAGCAGAAAGATGTAGCTTCGAAACAAATGGTGGCTCAGTGGTCAGCACTGCTGCTTCACAGTAGCCAGGTTCGATCCCAGCCTCGATGACTGACTGTATGGAGTTTGCACATTCTCCCCGTGTCTGTGTGGATTTCTGTCGGGTGCTCTGGTTTCCTCCCACAGTTCAAAGATGTGCAGGGTAGATGGATTGGCCCATGCTGAATTGCCCATAGTGTCCAGGGAAATGCAGGCTAGGTGGGTTAGCTGTGGCAATAATAGGATTGGATCTGGGTGGGACGCTCTTTGGATGGTCAGCATGGACTTGATAGGCCAAATGGCCTGCTTCCGCACTGTAGGGATTCTATGATCACACATAGAGAGTAACAGAATGATTAACGGTAAGTAGAACTCCTAGAAATTGTTTTATTCTCACGATTGGGAGATAATTTTTGTCATGGTGTTTAATTAATATTCTCGTGGGATTTACCTTCTCCCCACCTATCAGCAGGATTGATATCAGTGATGGAATAGAGCAGGATTACAGTAGATTGTTCCCACATGAGATTTGTCTGTGTGTTCCATGAAACTCTTTCTAATCTCTACTCCCCCATTAGGTAACATTAGGGTAGGTACAACAAAGGTTAATGAGCCAGAAAATTTCCCTTCTAACCATCGTCTGTTGTGAAACAGATTTACGGCCAGTGGACCAAAGGGATCTCACAGAATTGTAGCAATGTACTTACTTTGCTGATGCAAGAGATAATATGAGGGAAGAGGCACCTCATCTTGAAACGTGGAAAACATATTTACTGCAATGGAGTGAGTAATTGAGCAACAGACATTTACCTGATCGAGAGGTACAGAGAAGCACTCTTTCAGAATGTGTAGAATAGAAATGAGCTCAGGGTATGGAGAATTGAGAGAGTACAGAGCGTGCAGTTTACAGAGAAGCACAGGATACATGCAATCTCACCTTATCAACCCTTCATAAAGGACCTCTCTATCAAGGTTCTGTATTGTCTCCTTTCACTTCTTTGTAAAATGATTTTTTTCTGATCAGGGAGCATTATGGATGTATGTTGTTATAACTGTGGGCATTGATTTTCAGACTTGGTGGAGTTGCTATGAGTGGTTGATATTGAAGTGTAGAGAGATAAGATTACTAAGTAGTGTTGAAACTCATTGTATTGGAGTGCTGGGTCCTGAAGGGGTTCAAGTCTGTCTATGTACGTTCTTGATAATTCACTCAAAAGTGGACCACTGACCCACACAGAGGGGGTCATGGATTATCAAGTTATTTGAAACTTGAGGGGAATTTTATGCTAAAATAGCAAAGCCCGAAGAGTTTAAGCATACGACAGCTAATATCGGCACAATGCCCTGAGTGCTGTAAAACTCATTTTGTTAACTCACTGGAGGTCAGGGCTTACCAATGGCTAAACCCACATGATCATCCTCCTGGGACATTATCCTCCAAAACCATTGAAAAACATACAGACTTCCCTTCACTCAACTGGATAATTCTTGTCTTTTACTCAAACAGTCATTTGTGTTACTTGCAACAATAAATTTTAATGTCCCCAATACCTTTCCTCCGAGATGGCTACAAACAGCCTCTGATGTGTTATTCTGTAATAACTACAGCTTCCAGGACAATTCAGAATTGACTGTCCCACAGTAAGCAGTTTCTAAAATAATCAGTTTGAATTAAAGACAAGTGCACAATCTGCTGCATGCAATTTCATGTTTGTGACTCTCCATAACTTTGTTACCATTAGAGCTGACTATTCTAATCCACTCCTGGCACGCCTCCCAAATTTTATTGCCCATAAATTTAAGGTCATCCAAAATATTGCTGCTTGTGCAATAACTGGTGGCAGGTTTCATTCAGCGATCAGCCCTGTGCTCACTGTCAATGGCTCTGAATCTTCATCACAGCCTATCTCGGTTAAAAAGGCATCTGATCATTTTGCTGCTACAATTCAGTGTCTGGTTGTTCTAGTGTGATAGGGGAAAACTACTTAGCAGCTTAATGAGCAGAGGCTCTTGTTTTAAACAGGATATAGTGTATTGCATGCTAGCAGCTAGGTGCAAGATATTGTTACACAACTATGAAGGAAACCTTGCCACTAGATTTACCCTTTTGCAGTGTAAAACTATTCTCCCTGTCTGGGTCCATGTGACATTATCCTACTGGGTGGGGCTTAGTGTACTTATCAGCATTAACTCTTTCAGACCCTCGCACTCTTTTACATCTCCTCTACGTATTTTTTCCTCATTATTAACATTGTATATTTGTGTCTGTGTACATGACGCCATGAATCCCCAAGTCCCTGACTTCACTGATTCAGGAGGAATGAGGATTTTACTATTTTTCCACACTGCTCTCTCTTTGGATTTAGAAGATTGATGACTCTCTGACTTTGATTCTGTTCTTGATATTGTGAGAACTGAATATCCCTTTAAATTGGAGGATTTATCATTTGGATTTCCTTCACTGAGGCATTCTTTCTGTTGGTCCCTCCATCGTAATACCTGGAGTTTGCAGTAACTGGGGATCTCTGGACCAATGCATTTTCTCTTTTTGTCAGTATGCTGGATCTCCAAGCCAGGAAATTTCCTCATGACTTTTGTCCTAAATCTGTGGACATTGGTTGCCTCTCTCAGTGGTGGAGTTGTATGCACCACATCCTCAATCCGGGTGAGCAGATTTTTATTTTCAATCTGCTGAAAAATCTGTGCCGAGGTGTGTAGACACTTTACTTCAACTGCTTATTCATCAGGGTTAATTTCATTTGCCCTATGTGCCACATTTACCTGCGGTGGTGTGCTATTGGAAGATTGCCTCTTGGTTGACACGGTCTCAGTCACTCAGAATTCTTCTGGTGTGGAGGTGCCATTGTTGGACTGGGGTGTGCAAAATCAGAAGGTCACACGACATCAGGTTATGGTCCAACAGGTTTATTTAAACTCGCAAGCTTTCGGAGCGCCGCTCCTTCATCAGGTGAAGTGACTGAAAGCTTGTGATTTTAAATAAGCCTGTTAGATCATAACCTGGTGTCATGTGACTTCTGATAGAATTTGTCTGGAGAGATAAGGAAATGAAAATGTTCTTGTTGAACTTGCACCTGACGTTAGACTTCAGTCTGTCACACTATTAGTTCACCAAGCCATGTTACACTCGGAGCTGAAGATTTATCAATGATGTCAATAAACCCAGAATTCACTGCTACCTCACAGCGCCAGGGACTCAGGTTCAATTCCGGCCTCGGGCGATTGTGCAAACACCACACGGACATCCTCCCAGTGTCTGAGCGGGTTTCCTCTGGGTGCTCCAGTTTCCTCTCACAGTCCAAAGATGTGCAGGTTAGATGGATTGGCCATTGCTAACTTGCTCATAGTGTCCAGGGATGTGCAGGTTAAGTGAATTAGCCATGGGAAGTGTAGCGTTACTAGGATAGGGTAGGGGGGTGAATCTGGGTGGGATGCTCTTTGATAAGTTGGTGTGGGCTAGTTGGGCTGAATGGCCTGTTTCCACACGAGAGGGATTCTATTCTATTCTATTCTAATTCTATTCAAGTGGGGTAATATTGCTATTGGCTATCTGGTTACTCGTGCTCTCTTGCAAAGCTTGCTGATTCTTGCAATCAGAATTCTCTTCAGTGTTGATAACAGTGGAAAGCATTTCTTGCCAATCCAGTAGGTTGCTGACTGTACGAAAGAAAATTTTATGCCAATTTAACTAATCTCAAAAGATTCAGTCTTCTGCCTGGATTCCACCCTGAGTCTAGGGAACCTGATGAAAACTTCTCCTGTTATTCTTTGACACATTGTTCCTTAATCAAACTGTCTTTAATCTGTTCTTCCATGACCAGCCATGGCCAACCTCATCGCCCTCCAAGATTGGGTTAGGGTTTGTGCATCGGTCTGTTGTTCTCTCGCCGTAAGATTGTCCATCTCTTCACAGGATTTGTCTGTGCGTCTATCTAGCTTCTGCTTCCATTGCACTTTGAATAGCCTTCTTCAAAGTTACATTCTCCTTAGGCTGTAATAAATTTGTCAAAGACTTAACAATAATTCCATCAGCAATTCTGTCTCTTATAAATTTTGATTTCAAAATGCCAGTTTGACAGTTTCCCACCATTAATGAAGTTATCCATGGATTTCTCTGGATGTTGAACAATTCTGTTAAAACATGCTGT